TTAAGACCTTCAATATTTTTAGAGTAAACTCATAATCTATAACACAGGTCTGCAACTAAAAAGTTGTTTGATTATTTTCATCTGATGAAGATAGTTGCCCCTCCCGAATGATGAATGCATGTTGGTTACTGTTTTTATTATATGTGTCTTTGTTATTGTCTGCATTTCCCCTTCCCTGATTTTATGTGAGCCGCCCTGAGTCCCCTCAGGGAAAAGGGCGGCCTACAAATGTCAATAAAATCAAATCAAATCAAAAAAATCAAAGCAGCCCCTGCTCTGAAGTGGCTTCCTTCAGACTGAAACAATCCCAGACAATGAGGGGACTCATCCTAGAGCAGGGAAGGCTAACCTTTTATGTCACCAGGTGCCGACCTGAGTACCGGAAATGGCATGCAAAACCATCCTGCGAGAAATGCGCGGCCTCGCTGTCCTTCCCACTTTTGGGAGCGTCAAAACCCAGAAAAGCAGTGTTTCATCGCACATGTGCGCATTGGCACCCAAACCTCTGGTTTCTGGCACATGTGTGCGCTCGACAAACAGCTGGCCATCGCACATGCGCACGCTGGAAACCCGGACGTTTGGGTGCTCGCACACATGCATGATGGAATGTTGCTCTTCCGGGGGTTTGGCGCTCCTACACACGCGAAGGCCAGCTGGCTGACGCGCGTGCAGCCACAGGAACGCAGAAGAGAAGTCTGGCCCCGTGTGTCGCTTGCAGCACGCATTCCATAGGTACGCCAACACGGTCCTAAAGGGTCTTGATTCTACAACACAAATGTTGGTGATTGTGGGATTTTCAAAAGAGAGAAGCTAGGATTTGGGAGACACAGAGAACTCTGAAGAGGGAAAGCAGATTTTGGTGCTAATTTTGTTTTGTTTTTTAAGGGGAATGACTCCCTTGAATTGAAACTGCCTTCTCAGGACTGCGTCTGGCAGTATTACACAAGAGGTTTTCCATCCTTATGTCTCCAAACGCTTTTCTGATGTCCCAATCCAGCTTACCATCCTTAGTCTCCCATCCAGGTGCCAACTAGATCTGACCATCTGATCAACCAAGGTCAATTTGGTGCTACCATCTGCTAAGAGTTGGTTTTACGACTTGCCTAAGAGTTCTAATCACTCTTGCTAGTCAGGTTTTCTCCATTATGGAAGTTCACAGAAGGGGGCGTGGCCTTAGCAGTTAGCCTTATATACCACTTCACAGTGCTTTACAGCCCTTTCTATGAGGTTTACAGGGTCAGCCTATTGCCCCCAACAGTCTGGACCCTCATTTTACCAAGCACAGAAGGATGGAAGCCTGAGTCAGCCTTGAGCCTGGTGGGATTCGATCTGCCAAATTGCAGGCAGCTGGTGATCACCAGAAGCAGCACTCTAACCACTGTTCCACCGCGGCTCATTCCTTCTGTTTCCCCACAGAGACAGATGCCCCTCCTCCCTGCCCACAGAGGAAGCATTGCGGGGAGCTCACCATGGATGAGGGAGCCGTTCAACCACTGGATGTAGTAATTTTGAGGGAAGGAAAGCAAGACTTCGTTGCCGATGATGGAGAAGGGCAGCAGAAGGACTGCCCCCAGGGACACAGCCAGAGTGAAGGTGCACAGCCACAGCCTGAGCAAAAGGACACAAAAGAAAGGATAAGATGCTTGTCCACGTCCACCTGACACTGCTCGCTGCACAGTGAAGCCACAGACTACGCCTCATATTTACGACTTTCTTCCCCAAAATAGAAATACATTATCTCCTTGGTCCGCCATGTTCAAAGGATGGGAAGGTTAAGACTCTTGAGCATGACAAGGAAAGAGCAGCTTTGTTCACCACACACAGGAAGCAAAGAAGTTGGTTTGATGAGGGTCTCCCACCCTCTCTTCCCCCCTCCCCCCCCTCTCTCTGTCTCTCTCTCACACACACACACACCCCTATTGGATCTATTCTTTCACTTGAGTCTCATCAAAATTTAGAGCAGTTCCAGTTAAGGGAAGCCTGAAGTCATAAATAAGGCTTTCAAATTTTAATTTATCCCAAGTGAGAGTCCTTTCAGGCTTGGTGGGCAGCTGAAACCTAACTTTCTGGATGAGAAGCAACCTCTAACGGGGAGGTAAGATAATGCGGTATGCTTAACATGCCACGTGGATGCCTTATGAATGTGAATCTGAATGTGAAGCATGCGTGGACTTGCAGGGCCAGCGCGATGTGCAATAAGTTCACATGGTGCAACAAGCCTGGGTGTTTGTTAGCAGGATAGCGATTTTTTTATCTTTCACTGTGAGTTGTACTGTGTTGTGGGTGTGGGTGTGTACAAAAGGAGGCTCAGCCAATCTCATTGTACACATGTTGTTCTCTGACAATAAAGGTTTGAATTGAATTGATGCTTTATTTTTATACACACATATGCAAAAGAATGCTTTTTCTAATTTTTTAAAAAAATTATTAAATGTATATGCTGCCCATCTTTCTATCAAACAACTGAAGAATAATGTCTGAAGAGAACAGGGATTCTTGAAAGCCTGAAGGGCTGCCTATAATACATTCTCTACCATTAATGCCCAGATGTTAAGAAAAATGCAAAATTCCTCCTCATATTCGTTTACCTGGGCCATATTCCAAAAATACCTTTGAATGGCGTCCCAAATTACACAAAGAGAGGGATAGGGAAATCCACATTAGATGCATTTTTTTATTGGACATTTTAATTTTTTTAAAAAAAAAATAGCCCTAAAAAGATAAAAAGGAAAACATGGAAATGGGAAGAAGGAAGGGGAAAGGGAAGTTATGAATATCTTAAGAGGGGAAAAAGAGGGAACTTACGCAATCCGATTGACTGCAGCATCTTCATCAACTAAGAATAGGAAAAAACAATAATTATTATTACTGTTACTAAACTAAGTGCTCAAACTACTTTTCTGCCAAAGAACCCAAAGTAACATCTACAGTTCATTTTGCCAGTCTACTGAAGTAGACTAGTCAGCACTCTAAGCTTCCCCTATGACGGCCCATTACCATGGGGGAGTAGAGATCTGAATTTGTGTCATCCAGTGACAAACCTTTAATTGCAACATACATGAGATATTCCTAACAGGAAATGTAAAGATGGCATTTAGTCTATTCCATGTTGGTGATACAACATTTTGTATTAGACCTGCTGGTGGCATGCGGAGACATTTGTCCGGGCACACGAGGCGTTGCCCTGTCAGCTGACTTCAGTCTTCTTTTGAGGCCATTTTTCGCCCTCTGGAAGCTTCAGGAGCTTCCTTGAAGCCTCCGGAATGTGAAAAACGCCCCTACGGGCAAACCGGAAGTTTGGGAACGTACTTCTGGTTTGCTCATAGGGCCAGTTTTAGCCCTTCAGGAGGCTTCTCTGAAGACTCCGGAGGGCAAAAAATGACCCTACGAGCAAACCGGAAGTCACTTCCAGGTTGCTCGTAGAAGGACGAATAACGGCCCTACAGACAAACTAGAAGTCACTTCCAGTTTGCCCATGGAGTTGTTTTTTGCCCTCCGGAAGCCTCCTGAAGGCTCCAAAGGGCTAAAACTGGCCCTACAAGCAAACCGAAAGTCCGTTCCCAAACTTCTGGTTTGCCCATAGGGCCGGTTTTCCGCACTCCTGAGGCTTCAGGGAAGTTCCTGAAGCCTCCAGAGGGCCTCTGGGGGGGG